CCTTGGAACTCAGTACTTCTTCCTTCTGGATTTCTTTTTATTGAGGAAGAAATGATACCAATTCTACACAAACTTTCTATTTATTTGATAATGCCCTCCCGCACTCATAGAAACCAATGCGAAGTAGGGGCAGCTGGGGTGGCCATGCCAAAGGAGGCTCTGACCTCCCTGAATGACGAAGGAAGGCCGCTTTCCCAGGGCAAACTGTGATTGTTCCTATAAGGATGATGGGTGACCACAGTGATGAGAAACGTCAGGCAGCTCCCCGCGCACTTCGTACAGAAGGCCCAGTGACCGCACGGCGTGAGCACACGTGTGCCCAGTACCTGTGCTGGGTCAGCTGCGGTACCCAACACAGGTCAGGACACACAGTAAGTACGTGGTGGATCCTCACCGAATGAGTAAGCCCAGAGAGTTCTATAGTCATCGTGGGCTTGGAGACAGACACATTTATGAGCTCCTCCTGGGTGTGTGGCATCAACAATGTGGCACACAAAACCAAAAATCACACCTCACCTGCCATGGGGAGTTTTCCAGTCTGGGGAAAGAACTATCGTATAAAGTAAAGAATTGCAATGTCTACAAAAGCAGTGATTCGCAAAGCCCAGGAGGAAGAGATCACTCAATTCCAGCTTCTTCACACGGTAGCCCTCTGGAGCTAATATTTGTCTGTTTCCTAATCACATGCTCTAAAACCCCTCTTATGTATGTGGGTATTTTCTGCAACACAAGCCTCCCCTCCCCAAGGGGAAAAGGCTTCCCGGCCTGCCTTATAGCTGGGGTTTACTCACAGATCCAAGTTCTGACAATCAGATATGCTGCCTGGAGACTTCGATTAGGAAAACAGCGGACCAAGGATGCAGGCGCTGGAAGGTGCTTTCTGTTGAGGGAAACTACGAGGCACTGGGCTGCTGGGGCCGCAGAATTTGGGGCTTCCAGGGCCAGGGGTGTGAACTGTGTGCTGTCATGCCCCCCCTCTCAGTGGGGTCTCCTCAGAAGCCATCCACAGTGTGGTCCTAGTCCGACCCCGGTCATGTGGCCCCCAGGCCTAGCCCTCCCGCCCTCCTGGACATTTTCTGAGCTACCCAGTATCCTTTAATAAATTCATTTCCTGCTTATGGCGACCGAAGGGGGTTCCGTTATGGGTACCTGGAAACCTGACTGAAAAACCTATGGCCAGCCTTTCCCGCTCATGTGAATGCAAACGGGACTCCCTCGTTCTGTGACTCAGGTGTGACTTTCTCACAGTAGCTGGGTCAGAATGAGCGAGCAGGTCCTAAACCACCCTGCAAGGAGTGAGCACACATCTCACTTCTGGAAGCTTCCTGGCAACATCTGCACTTTAAACATACTGTTAAAAACAAAATTCAGCTGAGTACATAGAAAGAAAAAAAAGAAAGAAAGAAAGAAAGAAAGAAAGAAAGAAAGAAAGAAAGAAAGAAAGAAAGAAAAAAAGAAAGAAAGAAAGAAAGAAGGAAGGAAAGAAAGAAGGAAGGAAAGAAAGAAAGAGAAAGAAGGAAGGAAGGAAGAAAGAAAGAAAAAAAGAAAGAAAGAAAGAAGTAAAAGAAACCAAGCCCAGAATGGTGTCGTTTGCCCTGATAATAACAAACCAAGTCTTAATTAATTACAGTTTTAACCTACCTCAAGGATGTGACCTTTTAAAAGTTAATCGGAAATTTCCTGATCAGCACTAGTGAGGTAACCTGCATGAAAAAAATAAAATAAAAAACGCTGCTGTTGTGTGTCAACTATACTCCAACAAAAATATGTATATTTTAAAAATTGTTTTTATCCATAGCAAAAAGAAAGAAAGAAAGAAAGAAAGAAAGAAAGAAAGAAAGAAAGAAAGAAAGAAAGAAAAAAAAGAAACTGTTATTTCTTTCCCTGAAAAAAAGATGTCATGTCCTGAAACGATCCTTTCTCTCTCCCTCTCTCATTTTTTTTTTCTAATAACTACCTTGCCCCACCCTCCTACCTGTAAACACCTTCCATTTCATACAACTCCTTGGAGTATCTCTCTACTTGCTGGGTGGGATGCTGCCCAATTCATGAATTGCTTAATAAGGCCAATTAGATCTTCAAAGGCCCTTCTTTCTGTCTGCACCGCTGCTCCCCCAGCTTGGACCTTCGTCCACTGTATACGTCTTCCCATTTAGTTTCCTGCCTCCAGCCCCTTCACTTTGAAGACCACCTTCCATGCCACCAGATTTAATCAGGTCACCCTTCTTTCTAGGATAAAACCCTTTGGTGGCTCCTTATTTCTTGTGGACTGATGTCCAAGCTCCCTTGTGATCTTGCCCCCAGAAAACTGGTTTAAACTCACTTCCTGCTCCTTCCTCGTCACCTCCTCTGTCTAGCCACCCACCAGTCAGCAAACACCAGGTGCTCATAGCTGCCTCTGACACACACTCTTCTCTCTTCCTGAAATGTCCTCTGTCACATTATGTGTTTGGCATACTCCTACTCAGCCTTCAAGATTTAGTGAGAATGCCACCAACTTCGGGTAATGGTTTTTGCCATTTCCAGCAAAGTGTAGCACTTCTTTTCTGTGCTCTCTAGCCTTCTGATGGAGCACTCACCACATTGCTGTGGTTCTTGACTTACCCATGTAGCTTCCCGCTAGATGGTGAGCAGTGAGCGGCAGTGCTGGGGTTCCTCTGTTCATCTCTGCATCTTCAGGGCCAAGGACAGTGCCTGGCACTTAGTAGATACTCAGTTGATGCTTGTGAATTAACTAACTAATAATAAAAACGATTGCAGGAAAGAACCTTGAAAGTTATCTAAAACATTGGCAACCTGTATTCCCAAATGGAGGTTGTCATTAAAGCAGTAAGATTCTAGCCACTCCGGCCACCACCTTTCCCTCTCCAATGGGCCATACGCATCTCCCGAGGGGAACCTTTCTGCCCTGGCAGCCTAAAGACAGACCCAGGGAAGGAAATGAAGCACCTGCTAATTTTCAAGCACCTAGGAATTTGGAATAGTAATTAACACAAAGCTCACTAATAGTTAGGGAGTAATTAATAGCTAAATGTTGGCAGTTAGCAAAATGATGTTTTTCCCTTTTTCTACCCAAGCAGTGATTTTAAGTTGAGGATGCTGAAAATGGCTTGAAATGGGAGGAAATCATTCCAGACACCACGTGTATTTAAAAGGCAGTGCTACAGGTGGGCGTCCTTCATTGCTGTCAACCACAACGGCAAGTGCAAGCATTTCCTGAGCCCCCGCCAGCCAAGGCAGAGGTGCAGAACTGAAGGCAGGCCCACTTTCGCAAAAACCTCTCCAATGAGAACGAATTACACTTGCAAAGCAAGTGAATTTAGAGGCAGGCAAGGTTATCATTCACAACCCAGAAAGACCCTTTGCTATACAAAAGTGTCTCCCACAGGGCTCCTTTCAATAGGGAACTCCTGGAAACACTTAAAATATCATCGAGTTTATAAAGAATCAGTTAAGAACTAATTCTTTCAGCAACCATTCTATGGCACAATGGGGGTGTTAGCTACCTTTAAGAATTGCTGCTCTAACCTTTGACTTGCCATTGACCTTTGCCAGCAACCAATAGGCAGCAACACTGTGTAAAAGAAAATACATGGAAGGAGTCAGGACCCCTGGGCTTGAGCCTGGCTTTTGACCATGCTGGCTCAGCCTCAGTGTTCTCATCTGGAAGTAGGACCAACAGTCTCGGGGGTAAGAAGTAGAAAAGATAATCAGTGGAAATGGCCCATAACATAGGTAGTTGTTCACTCCTGTATTGTTTTGCCAGGGCCACTGTAACCAAAAGTAGCACAGACTGAGTGGCTTAAGCAACAGAAATGTATCGTTCTCGGTTCTGGAGGCCAGAAGTCTGAGATCAAGGTGTTGGTAGGGTTTGCTCCTTGCTCCTTCGGAAGGCTGTTCCATACCTCTTTCCTAGTTTCCGGTGGTTGGCTGGCAATCGTTGGGGTCCTTAGCCTCTGCTGCATCACCATGATCTCTGCTTCATCATCACAAATCCGTTCTTTCTGTGTGCATGACCCCATCTTAACTAATGGCATCTGCAGTGACCCTGTTTGCAAATAGGTCACATGCTGAGGTCCTGAGAATTAGAACTTGAACACATGAATTTTGAGGAGCCACAATTCAACCCGTAATAACTCAATAACAAATTATTGTTCTGGCCCTCAGTCCCTGAGATGACAGACAAGCTGTGTTTTGTTTTTGTTTTTTGTTTTTTGTTTTTTTTGTTAGATATTTTCCTTTTCTTGGCTAGGATGTTGCCAAGTAAAAGACATTTTTATAGAAACAACAGCAAGCCACAAGGAGAAGATTTGAAACATGGAAATCAAGACAAAAGGAAATGTTAGCAGAGAGCAGATTAGGGCAGCCGCCCCAGGAGCACTTTTTCTTTCTCCTGCCAGGTTCTTTTATTCCTTCCTTCTCAGGAAAGGGAGTGCACTCATCAGGGATTTGGTCACATTCTCCTTGCCACACTGACAAGTACGAGGGAGGTCTGGCACTCTATTCTTATCATGACTCACTTTTTACAGGAAGAAGATTTCTCACACCCAGTGGAACCATCCTTCTGTCAGATGGAGATGACTCTCTGCCTCCAGAGTTCTGCCAAACCAGCCACAGGAACAATGAATCGGTCATTTCCTCCCAAGCTTGGTTTCCAGTAAACTCCAAAAAAAGCCAACTGATGCTGTTGCCCCCCAGATCGTATTACTATTGGTGGAGGTTTGGAGGTCAGAGCTGGAAAGTCGGTGACACACCTGTTTTGTGCTCTGGTCCCCAAACAGTGATCCTTGGCTCTTGGAGTAGATTGATTGTGGTGATGACCACATTTGCTCCCACCTCCTGTATCCAAGCATTTGATAGTGCCCTCCCATGCCACTGATGGCATAGCCACATGTCTTGATTTGACTTGAAAAATACCTGTGCGCTGAGGTTTCTCCTCTTGCTGCCCTTATGACCTCAGCAGCTGCAGCCAACCCATCAAGCTCAAGTTAGCCTGCTGGAGGTAGAGACATCACATGGAGCAGAGGTAAGCCATTTTAGCCAGGCCATGATGGACTCACAGATGCATGAGTGCCCAGCTGATATTAACAGAGTCTGGCCCAAGCTGGGAGAGCCATTCAGCTGTGGGAGGCCCAAATTGCACACTCTCCAAACTGCGAGCTACAATTATGGTTTTTTTTTTTTTTTTTTTTTTTGCTTTTTGCTTTTCATTGTTCTTGTAGGCCACTTGGTGTTGAAGTGCTTTGTTATGTAGCAAAAGCTCCACAGATATTTTCCCAAGGGTTCTCCTGGAGTCTAGTACTACTGATGAAATCATGTGTGATGGGATTTTAGGGACAGTTTTCTCTGCAGCCAGGTGTAATTTGGGGAATGTGGGCTAGGAGGTAGGATCTGTTATCAATCCTGCTCCTCACCCTTTGGGACCACAGGCTTGGAGCCAAACTGGCGTTGATTCAAATTATGGCATGGTGTCGTTGTGGTGTAACAGCTGTAAAAACAGGAAAATCTCAGTGGTTTCACATTGTAAAGGTGCATTCCTCCCCCATGTCACAGCCCATTTATATATTTATATATCGGGTGTCTCATACATATGTGAAAATCTGCAGAGCTGGCTGGGGCTGGCTAGTCTAAGATGGCTTGGGGGGGATGGCTTATCTCTGCTCTGTGTAGTATCTCATCCCCTGATGGGCTAGCTTGTGTTTCATCACACTGACATGTATCCATGTAGAGATGCGGGGACCCAGGCTCCCTGCATCTAGTGCCTCCTCTGAGCCCTCCACGGGATCCTTGGCATCCAGCCAGGAGACAAGAAAAGAGAAAGAGCATGGAGCATCTGGTGGGACTTGTTGTAGGGGGCCAGGGCTTGAAAGGGGCATAAACCACTTCCTCCCCTATTCCATTGGCTAGCGCTAGTCACATGACCCCCACCTAATGCAAGGGGACTGGGAACATGATCTAGCAGTGTGCCAAAGAAAGAGAGAAGACAGATGTTGGTGAGTTCCAGAAGTCTGTCTCATGTAGCTACTTATTAACTAGGTACTTGGGCAAGTTATTTGACTTCTCTGACAGTCAAACAGTCCCATGTGGGTTGTGCAAAGAAGGTGCTTGCTCCAGTCTGTGTCTCTTCATTCTGGTGTGTGGTCATTCAGACTGGGGGAACTGAGGTCATTTGGTGCTATATCCCTATGCTGTTGTTTTCCAGAATCAGGCTCTGTTGGGCATACCAATGACAAGGCAGTGGGAATGGTTCACTCTCGGTTTAGGTGATAAGTCGGTGCATTTTCTTTTTTTTTTTTTCAAGATTTTATTTACCCATCTTTCGGGGGCGAGGGGCAGAGGGAGAGGGAGAGATTGAATCTTGAGCAGACTCTGCACCAAGCTCAGAACCTAATGCAGGGCTCTATTCTAGGACCCCAGGATCACAAGCTGAACCAAAACCAAGAGTCCAATGCTCAACCAACTGAGCCACCCAGCCACTCCTAATTCAGTGCATTTTCTATGGATACTTTTTAAATTATAAAATGAACTGGAAGTTGGCCTATTTTGTATTATCATCATGTGCCACCAATAATAATAAAATACTCCTTCCTAAATAAAAATTGTTATCTAAGTGCTAAACAATGGTGGCATTACTATTGAGATTTTAAAAAATTCTTTATGTAAATTCTATTTATTTAATTTTATTTTTTTAAGGTTTTATCTTTATTTGAGACAGAGAGAGAGAGAGAGAGAAAGAGCACAAGCAGGGGGAGCGGTAGGCAGAGGGAGAAGCAGGCTCCTCACTGAGCAAGGAGCCAAATGTGGGACTCTATCCCAGGACCCCGGGACCATGACCCAAGCCAAAGGCAGACGCCCAACTGACTGAGCCACCCAGGCATCCCTATGTAAATTCTATTTAGTTAGGATATACCATATTATTAATTTCAGTGGTAGAATTTAGTGATTCATCAGTTGCATATAACACCCAGGGCTTCATTACATCACATGCCCTCCTTAATGTCCATCACCAAGTTACCCCATCCCCCAACCACCTCCCCTCCAACAACCCTCAGATTGTTTCCTAGAATTTAGCATCTCTACAGTTTGCCTCCCTCTCTGTTTTCGTCTTATTTTATTTTTCCTTCCCTTTCCCTATGTTCATCTGTTTTGTTGCTTAAATTCCACATATGAGTGGAATCATATGGTATTTGTCTTTCTCTGACTGACTTATTTCACTTAGCATAATACCCTCTAGCTCAATCAATCCCATTTACAGTGGCATCAAAACCCATAAGATACCTAGGAATAAGCCTAACCAAAGAGGTAAAAGATCTGCACTCTGAAAACCATAGAACACTTATGAAAGAAATTGAAGAAGACACAAAGAAATGGAAAAACATTCACGCTCATGGATTGGAAGAACAAATATTGTTACTATTGAGATTTAATGATATACATAGCTACAATTGAGTCCTAATGCACAAGTTCCTGCCACACACTTTGGATTTCAGAATATATTATAGAGGCATCTAGATTTCAGATTCATTTAAGCATATTTTCAAACAATCACTCCAGCTACTGTGTTTCACTGTTTAAAACTTTTAAACATTATTAAAAAACTCCAAGTGGTCACATAGAGTGACAAAACAGAAGTAACTCCAGTTCTGCTTTGTTGTCTTCAGAGGCATTGTTAATTTTTACTTTATGGTTTTAATGCAGGAATATCTAGTACCATGGAAAATGGAGACACAAGCTGCTCCCCAGGAGAGCTTGAACTGTTCTGAACCACTGTGAGCTTATTGGGAGTTCACCAAGTTCACTTCCATGTAGAATACAGTATCTATTTAAAGGGAAAGTGTCTTAGTCAGCTTGAGCTGCTAAAGTAAAATACTGTAGACTGGGCAACTTAAACAATAGACATTTATTTTTCAAAGATCTGGAGGTTGAGGATCCAAAGTGAAGGTGATGACTATTTGGTTCTTGATAAGGGCTCTTTTCCTGGCTTGTAAATGACTGATTTCTTGCTATATCATCACATGGCAGAGAAAGGAAGCTCTAATCTCTCTTCCTTTTCTTACAAGAGCACTGCTGCCATCATGGGGGCTCTAGCCTGGTGACATCACTGCAACCTAATCATCTCTCAAAGGCCCCACATCCTGATACCATTACATTGGGGTTTGGGCTCCAACGAATGAATTTAGGGGTAGGACACAAACATTCAACCCATAACAATAAGTAATGACATTGTGCTTGTTTGAAGATAATTTGGGGGGAAGTTGGAAAATTATCTGCTTTGGATTCAAATTCACTAGCTTAGTCATTGGCCCCTCTGCAGAGGATTGGTCTTTGGTAGCCTCTCCTTGTCAGCACTCTACTCTCCACTGAGGTTCCTGCGTCCACCTTGATGTATTAAGATCTTCTTAGGAAAGAGGGTGACTAGAAAGGACTCCAGAATTCCAGGTCTCAGATCCAGACATTAATTGTGAGCTGGGCCACACTGTCTACTGGCTGGTGGGGCAAAGCCATGCTCATTCCAAGTGGGCCAAGCATGGAAGCTCCTGAATCTCGCCCTTCCTCTTTCTTACATAGTCTGCTGCTCCAGCCTTTTTTTGTTTGTTTTACCATCAACTGCCTCTAAAATAGCTGTGTTCAGTTGTACTCTTGTCCGGATGAGTAAGTCCAAATCTGGATGGACCTGTTCTTCCCAAACATGAATGACTCTCATTCCAGTTATCCCACATTCTTCCTTCTTTTTCTCTTTTTTCTTTTCATTATTTAGTATTATTATTGACACCATTATTCTCCCAGTCTCAGTAATCTTTGGCATGCTCTCTTTTATTTTCTATAGTTGACTAAGTTCTGTGATCAAGTTCTCTCCTTTCCCATCTACCCTGGTTTGGACACAGGTCAGCTTGCATGTGAGGTCATGCCTCATTACCCCATCCGCACACCCTGAAACCTGTCTGCACTCTGCTGCCAGATGAACCTTCCCAAACACCACTTCATCATGTCACTGCTCCCCCCTAGACTCTGTGATGGTTTCCTGTTGCTAATGCATCAAAACCACCTCCCCTCAGGCCTGAGGACGCTCGAGCCAGTGACAAACAGACTTAAAAAATTTTTAACGAAACATTTCAACTTTCAACTAAAGATGTTTTCCTAAATCTAAATCTAAGCTTGGTTTTTCAGGAGAGAACACATAAATGGGGCAAAGGAGACACCATTTTCCTCTGCGCACAAGAAGGATGTGTTGACCAATGTCGGGGCTCAACAAATACTTTTTAAATAGAGAAAAGAAACTTATGGGTAGTATATGAAAATGTAACTTCCTCAGATAGTATACTTTGCCCATATTCATCCACTGATGCTGTTTTAGTTATCTATAGCTGCACGAATGAAATACTCTAAAACTTGGTGACTTAAAACAACCATTTTATTATCTTTCAAATTTCTGTAGGTTGACTGGGCTCAGAGGCACAGTTCTTTTGCTGGTCTCTCTTGGGGTCTCTCTTGCAGTTGTACTTATATGGAGGCTTGGCTGGGATGCTGGCACAGCTGGGCCCCTTCTCTCTTTAAGTGGTCTTACCTCTCCCTCGCCATGTGGCTTCTTCATGTCGTCCGCCATGCAGTCTTTCCAGAAGGAGAGCCAGACTTCTTATGTGAAAGCTCAAGGTTTCCAAAAATGAAATAGTGGAAGCTTCCAGGCCTATGGAACTAAGGCCCTTGCAGGCATAGTGTCAGCTCTGCCTTATTCTGTTAGTTAAATCAAGTCTCAGGAAAGCCCAGTTTCAGTGAAGGAGGGGTCTATACAACGGTGTGATGCAGGGAGGTGTGGTTCATTGGGAGCCATCTTTGGAGACTAGCTACCATCTTCTGGCTTTTAATGATTCATGTCCTTTCTTCTTTTCTTTTCTTTTTTTTTTTTTAAGATTTTATTTATTTATTTGAGAGAGAGAGCATGAGCTGGGGAGGGATAGAGGGGGACAGACAAGCAGACTCCCCACTGAGCAGAGAGCCTAACTCAGGGCTCGATCTTAGGACCCCAGG